TAGGCGTGTGGGTGAGTCACGAAGGTTGGTGCCGGTGGAGGATGTGTTGGCATGTGATGTGGCCACGTAGGAGCTGGTGGTTGCGGCGAAGTGGCCTGAAAGTGAGGCAAGATCGTCTGTGGTGGTGGATGAGACAGAACAGTAGGGAGAGGTGCCGTTGGTGGAGAATGGTGCCATGGTGGTGGCTGAGTGCTGACAGTAGGTTGTGGGTGCGGTACAAGGTGGTGGCCATTGTGGATACGGCCAGGGATACTGCATATGAAGAACAATGGAGAGGTCAATCCGAAAGGCTGCAGAAAATGGCGCCGGCGCGGCACAGCAGCGGAAGTGATATATGGGAAATGGCAGTGAAATCTGGAGCCTGAGTGCGTGTGCTGTGAAAAAATATAAAGTGAAGTCGTGGCATGCAATGCAATCCCTGAGATCTGCGGTGCGGAACGTGTGAAAGCTGATCGTTGGCTAAACAGCTGCGGGTGAAAAATTAAAAGTTCAAGGATGCAACAATGCGCAGTACGGATGGAATTCAGAATCATTGGTGGGAAATCCGTCGCTTATAGCCCGGCGGCTCGAAAATCAGTTAATTCAGGGATAAAGTTGAACAAACAGAAAGGCAGTTGTAAAGTTGGAAGGTCGGTGATTTCCAGTATGATTTCAGCGCCTCCTTTCGGAGGGTCACACCCAGTACCCATGTGGGAAGACTGAGCGGTCCACACTTCGAACTTGGGTTTTCAGTTAGACTCAATTGCCACGTTGGGAAGGATGGCGATGGAACCGTATGGTGAAAAGTCCGCGGATTTGTAGTAGGTGTTTTAACACAGGCTGTTTCTCTTGACTGCAGACCTCAGCGGTGGTGAACGAGCGGCTCAACACAGCTGGGGAAGAGTGGTTTAAGGGAAGTATCATGAACCACCATGGAAACAAAAAGGAAAATTGGACAGCGTGATCAACAGTTTCCTGGCAGGTACACAGATTGGCGTCCCAATCTGCTTCACGGAATGTCCACAGCTGTCTTCGTTGGCAGCAGAACTGTGGATTCCCTGCTGCCCCCTGCTGGAAAATCTTTTGAAACATGCCTCGGTTACAGTGGAAAGGTGAGAACGTGAAAAACCCTTAGAACCAGGGTGTGACACACACACAAACAGCCGGTTCGGCACACACTCTCTTTTCTCGCGGGAGGGGGTGTGTGAGAAGGGGTAGGTGTGCAGTGACTAAACGAGCCTAGAAGTCAACCTAACAAGCCTGAAAGAAAGAACAAACAAACGAGAAAGGCAAGGCAAGAAAAGAAAAGGTGCAGGGGTGCGGGGTGTGTGGGTAGGGCGTGCTTTGACTAAGCGAGCCTAAACGTCGACCTAACAAGCCTGAAGGAAAGCCCAAGCAAACGAAAAATGCAAGGAACGAAAGCGTGCAAGGGGTGTGGGATGGGGGGGAGGGGTTGTAGACCCGAAGGTCATTGACAAGAAGCCGAAAATCGGCGCGCGCTTGACTAAAAAGCATCAGTTACACTTAAAAAGCATCTAGAAAAAGTAAAAAGACCTGGAAAACGAAGAGCAACAGCAGGAAGGAAAGAACCGAAAAATGAATACTTAGCAGTCCCGCCTGCATCCTATGATTACGTAGCGGCATAGAATGGTGATGCTGTCAGCAGGCCCTGCGGCGTATGTTCAGCAATCTCGAGCAAATCACTAAAGCCAAAGAAATTCACGAGCAAAACAAGAGTTCAGGGAAAGGTTCACCCTTGAGGGCATGTGCGCATGCAGCGCCCCTTGCTGGGGATCACACCACAGCCCACAGCGGGACTCTGTGGCGAGACACACTTAGATAAAGTCTCGCAAGAGCAATATCAGTTGTGATCCTCCACTCTAGCGGACACCCGATACCTGAGAAACAGCCCTGAGAGGAACAGAAAGGCGACGAGTCGGCAACAATATTGTTTAAATCACAACTGGTGAAGAAGCAGGTACACCAGGTTGATCAGACCTGGCTTCCCAGATGCAAGGTAGCTTTGTTAGGCGCAGTCCCTTGCATCTGCTGCGCCCCCCTGCTTTGTACAATTCGTGTGGTCAAGTTCCTTCCAAACAGGAATTGACACACTTAAACAATGGGTTTTCAGTCAACTCAATTCCACGTCAAAAAGAGCGATGGAACCGAAAGGCGGCTGAGTCCGGTGACCTGTAGGTGTTTGAAAACATGTTTGCGCACATCTGCAGAGATCAGCGGCGGCTCACAAGCAGCGGAAAGCGGCGGAGGCAAAACCTGCTTAGGGGTAAGTATCGTGCAAGAACCATGGAATCAAAAGGTGGAAAAGTGGAGTCACGGCTTGGGCAAAAGTTCCATCAGTGCAGGTACAAGTGGTTGATCAGACCACTCATCCACAGAAATGCCATAGCTTTGTTGGACTGGATAGGCAAATCGGCTCCAGTCCCCCTGCATCAAGTACAAGAAATGTCGTACGAGAACTGCTCAGGACGGAGTGTGACACACACACAAACCGCCGAAATCGGCGCACTGCATGGGATGGAAACCTTTTCTGCGTTCTGCGCGTATAAAATTTGAATCGCAAAGGAAAGTGATCAAAGTCAGAAATAACACTTGAACCGCTGATGCTCTGCGACAAAACGTGAAGATACCGCACGCCCGGCGGCATCAAAGCTCCGTCAACTCGGCAGTATTAAGGCAGTAGATTCATGGGGTGAAACACTCAATCAGTTAGTGATAATCCAACGCGTGCAGAGACACTAGATCCATATGTGATTCACAATGGCCTCGGCGCCTCTCTTGCGAGAGGATCGCACTCTGTACCCAGTGGGACGACAGAGCGGCACACACTTAGACAATGGGTTTTCAGTCGTCAGTCAACTCAATTCCACGTCAAAAAGAGCGATGGAACCGAAAGGCGGCTGAGTCCGGTGACCTGTAGGTGTTTGAAAACATGTTTGCGCACATCTGCAAAGATTCAGCGGCGGCTCACAAGCAGCGGAAAGCGGCGGAGGCAAAACCTGCTTAGGGGTAAGTATCGTGCAAGAACCATGGAATCAAAAGGTGGAAAAGTGGAGTCACAGCTTGGGCAAAAGCTCCATCAGTGCAAGTACAAGTGGTTGATCAGGCCGCTCATCCACCGAAATGCCATAGCTTCGTTGGACTGGATAGGCATATCGGCTCCAGCCCCCCTGCATCAAACAAAAGAAATGTCGTACGAGAACTCCTCGGGACGGAGTGCGTGGCACACACACACATGTCAAAATCACACCTGTGAATTCTTTTCTTTCTCAGGAACACTTGTTTTCCATACAGTAGAACGGTAGATCCTTCAGAGTCTCCCTGCCATCATTTTCGGCACTTGCAATTTGAAGTTGCTTGAAGCTTCATGCGGAGGAGTGTGAACATGTGAAGGAACAACTCATGGACATGGCCATTCCTTGCAGGTTCACGGACATGGAGCATCGACACGTTTGTGGACACATTCTCCCGCTTTTGGTGGATGCGATGCTTGGCACAAAGACCAAACAAAATCAGTATTTAAGATGTGTTTGGAACGGTCTTTGATTGTGGCAAGACTGTCTAGCATACGATGTTCTAGAACATGTCAAAGGCCGTTCAGAACAATCATTCTTTGATGAACAGGAATTGTCACCGGATTTTTCCAGGAACCGTGGATGGGCAAACAGCTCTTGGGAAGATCCTGAGAAGGTGATTGGCCGGGATCGGCGGCAGGCGCGGGCAGAGAAACGTGGGGTTTCTTTCTTGCTGTTGCATGCAACACCTACTATGGGCTACGATGAAGGGCATATCAGAATTGCAAACAAGAAAGAACATAGATCATTAACGCTCGGTGTCGTGTAATTACTGTAGTAGTTTAGTAACGCTCAGTATTCCCTGATGAGCTTTGTTGCCAAAGTGCAGAATCAGAAGGTTCCCGCGGCAAGTGTTTTTTTGACACCGGTTGAGCCACACCTTTGACCTTTGCCAATGTGTTTTTCCTTCTTCTTTCCCGACGGACCTTGGCTGCATGAGGTCCAAACTGTTGATTGAGAGCGGACCTTGGCTGCAAAGGGCCTGGAAAGGGCTTTGCTCTTTGCTTTCTGCGCGCCGCACGGTTTGTTTCACATGACTTGGTGTCACTTTCACTTTCTGCTGAAACCTGGATACTCTGGCTGGTTCAGAGCCAAAATTCATTTGCGCCCACATGCCGCCCTGTCTCGCCTTCTGTGGTGGTGACGATGACGATCGGAGCTATTTCTGAGAGCTCCATGTAATTTCATGCCTCAAGACGATGCCTTCTGTAGCATTCATTCCAGATTGGAAGCAGTTTGAGGCTCCGGAGGCTTAGACGCCGATTGAGGCTGAGGCTAATGTCCTTCCCCGAAATTCGATGCACTTTTGCAGGCTGCTGCCAAGCACGCAACGCTGCCATGCATGAGCCGATGGGGCTCTAGATGGTCTTTGGGGCATATCTCAGGAATATGTAATGTATAATATATATATATATGTATATATATATATGTATATGTATATGTATATGTATATGTGTATATATATATGTATAAACTTCGAGTTTGGAGTTTGTAGATAATGGCCATTGGAGCCTTCAGCATCGTGAGACCTGTGTGAAGTGCTCCAAGAGCAAACCAATTTCAGCACAAATTGGTGTGCTGGACTGAAATTGCGACTTCTTGACTCCTCTCTTATCATGAGCCAAGTATGTCAAATATGCACACGGACTGGGAGCGACCAACATTGGTGTTGGATCTTGGAACTTTGTTGATGTTGCCCAAAGCTGCATGACCAGAAGCGATTTCGATCAAAGATGTTTACTACGACCTGAAGGAAATGGATGGCATAGTTGGCATAGTTGCAGCGGTCACCATGGGACCGTGCGGAGATGAAAAGAGTCAACAATGGCGGTTTGAAAAGCAGTCAGCCATGCAAGGTCAGCCCAGGGGGCCCCGGCACCACTTGTTTGCCTCCATCCGCAATCCGCGACTGGTCGCCTCCCGTGCAAGGTATTATTCAACTGTCTTGCCACGACTGCCGATGTCAACCAAGAGGCAGCTTGAAGCCAAGCTGGCACCGAGCTCAGATGTCTGAAATCATATGACATCAAATGAAATATATACATTGCTAGATGTTGACAGTTGGGCGCAACCAGAAACTCTGAGCCAACTAGACATTTCCAGCTTTTAATGTGACAGTTTGCCAGCTAGTGCAGGCGCCAATTCCTCAGAGCCGGAAGCGCTCCAAGTGCAACCTAGCATTCTTGGAAGCTGGGCGCTTAGCAGAAGAACACCGTTGGATTAGGTTGATACCAACAGTCCTCGGAAGCCTGGCACAGCACGTTTCGTTGTGATCATCAAGGAAAGATCTCTGGGCGCGGAAGATGACCGTGTGATTTTGCAACCACTTGATTTGCTGGCAGGGATGACATATTTGGTTTTCTTTCACCTAGCATACACAAAATGCGACCAGGATATTTGAGGTCCAGTGCTAATCAGAGTTCCTCCTCACCCGTCTCTAGAAGAACGTTCTTGGTGGTTACTGCACTGGCTCGTGAGATGTTTAACAATCAGCTCTGTTTCACTCAAGGTCTATCGAGAACAGGGCGTCAAAGTGGAGATCAGCCACGACGGTGAGTGGGTGACCGGTACCACTTTAGAGCTGATCGAGGACAGACTGATCACGGTCCCTTGGAAGCCAATGCATGTGCGCAGTGCAATACAAGTTTCCATGTTGAAGCGAGGGGTCTTCTCCAGTTGATGTGTTGTTCCTGCACCAACCTGCTAGATGTGGGGGATTTGATGCTTATGTATCTCCAGTCACAGCGCATTCGAAGTGCATTTCGACTACGCAGGCTTGCCCAAACTCTATGGCTGGAGCGGGTGCTTTCCTCGACTACGCGTAGACACTATTGCACGGGGATACGAATAATAACCAAGTCATACCAGAGCATACCAGAGCAAAAGTGTAGACATCATTTGAGGGTAATAGTAATATCGTTTAAACAGGGAAAAACGTAGACATTAATCCCGCGAGTGCAATCATTAAAGCCAACTTCAACCACCCCTTCTGTAACTGTATGTATGCTCACGCATACCCGTGCTCACATGTGTGTGCTCTTATGTGTGTGCTCTCATATGAGTGCCCTCATGTGTGTGTGCTCTCATATGGGCAAATGTGTGCTTTGATATGTGTGCTCTAGTCGTGTACTCCCGCGTGTTTGCTCACGTATGTCAATGTGTGTACCCTTGTTTTGTTCTATTTAACACGGGGTCTCTTGCCGGAATACCTTTTTGGCGTAACGGAATTTCTGAATATTTCTGATATATATACATATATATATATATTTGTTTGCTTATCCTTCTTGGACTTTGCCATCGTGCTCCAACTGTCTCGGTTGGTCTGTTGTCAACGGAACGACTTAGTCGCAGCCGTGTTCTTGAATTTTTGCACACGTAAACCTCTCACAAGAAAAGTCACGTCTGTGCCTAGACATACTAACTGTTCTCAAACTACGTCTGTTCCATCCTGTTACACTTACTAGACAGATGGTATAGTATTTGTTGTGTTTCCATTTTGGCTTGTAGTTGCTTGTCCGTCTTCCATTAGTGTGTTTGTTTTCCCCGATATCTACGAATTCAACACAGGAGGTCTGGATTGTAAATCTGTAGAGTCCAACCTGAAAAACCGATATTTAAAACAACGCTGATATACGTAGCACACTTTGAACAACCATAATACACTCACGAAGCTTTCTTGGTGCTTGGTGTGGCAATGATTCCTCATCGACCCATGTCCACAGGACATGCCCTCGAGGCTCAAGGTGCTGGTGGGGGAGCTGAGACCAAAGAGGTTTTGAGACGAGGCAAGGTGCTGTGGCAAAAGTGCAATGCCTTCACTTGGAATTCCTTTTCCGTTTGGACATGTGTGTGCCCTGTTTGTGCCGATTCTGGTTTAGACACATGTACTTTGGGGTTTGCAACACAAGTAGGTTTGCTCATTCTGTAGGGGCACCGCTTAAGATTTTATGCAAGGGACCTGTTCACCAAGGTTTCGTCGAAAGACCCTTATTCGACAATTCCTGTGTTTGGGCAATAGCACTGTGTGTCCTCGCACTAATGTCACCGTGATCCTTTTGGGACGAATGATCCTTATGCACGGTTACTTGTACATTTACTGCCAAGAGTCCGTCAGCAGTTTATTGCACACGTTTATGTCACTCTGCTTTGATGCTTGGATTTATCTCGCAATTTGAACAACAACCAACAGAACACTCAAGCTGAACCATACCAGGCAGCTTTGGCAAATCAAACACACGAACGGTTCTCGCTTGCAATTGAGGTCAAAATGGACAACGATGACAGTGAGAAGGTGATCAGTTTAGGCCCCTCTTCATAGTTGCTTTGGTGCATCTCCTTTTTGTCACGTGTGTTGGATCCATTGGACGTCTTGAGAAGATTGCGTTGGGCATAACGCTGCCATGCACTGCCCCTAACCGCCCCTCTTTCGGCTCGAGAAAAGGGTTGGAATCAGGGGCAAAGATCGATCGTGCAGCACAAGCTATGAAGACGGATGGAAGTATGAGGATCCTGCACAAGTATCTCATCAACAAATTAATTGGAATCCATCATTTTGTGTCTTTTGATTTTCGCCTTCAGGGTGAAGCTTTCTCAACCTTGAGCCCAGGTTGATCGGCAAAGCAGGATTCGTCCCGTTCTTCCCACCTGTCTTTGGCCGTGCGCACGAAGCTCATCTTCCTACAGAGCGTTCAAATTTTGAGCGCGCTTTAAATGCTTTCTTTAGGGGGTCTCGCCGCCACAATTGCTTTCATGTGTGGGAGAGGAGTTGATGAGGGAGAGATGTTCTGATGTACAAGGATTAATATATAACACACATATATGTATGTATATATATACACGCTATTCAGTATACAATATATAATTCGTTTATAATGCCATTTCTCCATTCTACGTCATTTGATGCTTTACAAAGAAGGTGTGATTCTTCAAAGGTCAAGTTTCAATGCCTTTCATGCCCGATCGGGCCTTTTGGGACGATTTTCCAGACGAAGTGGTGTTCCATGTAGTCGGTTGATTTATATGTATGAGGATGCGCGTTTCACTTGCGACTCAAGTGACTTATAAAATAGAGGCAAAGGTGATTTATCCCCTTTTCCCAGTGGTCAAGAAAGAGAAATAGCACTTCATTGCAAACTCAACATCAAAATCAGATCAACTTGAGTCTGGCGCCTGGTGAGCTTGTTGGTTGAGTCACTCCTTCAAAGTTGGATAGATCTTCTCATCACTTGGGTGCGTATCATCGTCCCAAGGCAGGCAAGTCTTTTACTTGCAACGTTCAGATCAGATATACAACTGCAACACATTGTTGATGGTATCATATCAGGGCAAGAGCTGTCACTCCATTTCAAACCGCCTTTGTCGCATGTTGGACATTGGATCGAGTCACTCAATTGAGCTGTTCTAAGTTCTGAGGACTTTTGCGTCAGTTTGATTGACAAGAGAGGTAGACAGCGACTGCTCGCTTCCAAGATTCAGGCCCTGCGCAGCGGTTGGGTCGTTGGGTCGTCCGAGGGAGCGGAGCGGAGCTTACAGCGAGGTGATCCACTGGTTGGTCCAACACATGAGTTCAATGGATTGTGTGATGACAGCTCACATAGGCGTGCCTTAAAGTTTCAATTCCCGCCACATAACATAGGCTTGCTTGCCCTAATGAACAACAGGACTTCTCGCTAAGGTACCTTTGAGCTGCGCTGACTTCCCTTCTTTAACCGCACCACTGACCCTGGCCGTGAAGACTTCTCGGCTTTATGTTATGTTCTTCAAAGTTGCCAAGATCTGTCTAGCCCACTTGTTTGAGACATCAGTTGTACCAAGTCTGCTTGAAAAGCTTTTTGCTGATGGTAGGACGGGCGAAACGGATGAGCCGCCTGATGATAGCTTCAGTGTGGGGGACTTTTCCGACATGGAGTCCGAATGGGATCCCTGTGAAACAGCAGGACTCTGACACGTCACGTCACAACACGATTCGGTCATTGCTTTCTTCTCCTTCTCAAGTGGTGATGCTGACAAAACTTGCATCTATACTGCAGGCTTTTGCAAGATAGTTGATGGATTGCCCCCCTGAAGCTTTTACGAAGGAGATTAGCTGTCCGACAAATCTTAGAAGGCATAGGGTAAAGATGCCCAGCTTTTTGATCCAGACATCATTGATACATATTGATGCTATATCCAGGAGAGATGCCGGAGATGATCGAGGAGGGATTTCAAGACAAGAATTTTGCTTCGTTCAAGCATTGGTTAACCTGTCATTGACAACTGCAGCAATTCGGTTCTGAAACTTCGCTGACACAGGACACCATGACAAGCAGCTCCTATCCTGTGGCGGCGTGCGTTCTGTCCGAAAAAGCAAGCGCTGGAAATTTCTATGTGCTTCTCGGCCAACACATCGTGTGCGAACCTTTGGAATTCTAGAGTCTATTTTTTCAACTTTTGGTCTTGGGATTTAGTTTGGATTCCTTCTGCTTTTGTGCCTTTCTGGTTTTCCTTCATTGCTTTTCTGGCTTCTCCTTTGTTGCTTTTTCCGCTTCTTTGCTTTCTGTGTGACTGCTGGTCAGCTTCTTGGCTTTTGTTCTCCACACTTCGCTTCCCTGCTTCGTCTTTGTTGTGCAATTTGCACAAGAGGTAACAAGCAGGAAAAGGACTTTGCAAGGTAAGAAGCAGGAAAAGGCTGACAGCAAAGAGCAAGGAAGGAAACAAGGAGGCAAAACAGCAAGGAAGCAAAGGAAGAAGGAAGTAAGGAAGGAGACAAATTGGAAGGAAGCAAGCAAGGACAACGCAAAGAAAGCAAGCGAGGAAGAAATTATGCCAGGAAGCAAGAAACACGCTCCTTGCTCAGAACAGAAACATCATAAAACGCACGGTTGGACATACATCTGTCACGCGAACAAGATTGACACCCTCAAGCCTAAATTAGGTGATACTTATATAACCGATTTTGCTACTGTACAACGTTCAAATCTCAACTTTGATTGTCCTCCAAGGCCCAGTTTCAACCATCATGCTAATCGTAACCCTCAAAGCTTAGTTGCAGCCTTCAAACCTCACTTGCAACCCCCAGAGCTAAATTGCAGACCTCAGGGCTGAAATTAAGGATTTGGTTTTGCTATGAAGGTTTTAGGACTCAATGGAGGCAAAGTTAACGTTCGCAAATGAGCATTTTTTTGCGTTTGCAGGTAGCCAAAACTGTCATTTGCGAACAGGATTAACGCAGAAACTGTTGAACATTTCTGACAGGTCCGAATGTAGTTAAAGCAAAATCCTGCATAGCAACCCCCAATTCCATAACTGCAGCCCTGAGGGCGCAATTAAACTCTGGGGGTTGCAAGAAGCTTTGGGGGTTGCAAGTGAGGTTTGAAAGATTCAATTAAGCTTTGGGGGTTGCAATTAAGGTGCGAAGGGGTTGAAATTAAGCTTTGGGGGTTGCGATTAAGCTTTCGGGTTGTAAGTAAGATTTGAAGGCTGCAATTGAGCTGTGCTCGGCATCATTACATATCTTGTGTGGGGTCAAACACTGGGAGCGACAGGGCGAGATGCGCAAATATAAAGGCAGAATAGTCTATCGGGGTGACCTGATCAAACATGAAGCAGGTGAGATCGTTTTGTATGCTGTCACTGCGACGACACCCACGGCCTTGTTTCCGCTTGATTTGGTGTTGTTCTATGGTTCATGTGAAAACAATGTGATTTCGCTGTCAGATGCTGTCCAAGCTTTCTTATACCAGCGCCCATCGAAGAGGAAACTTGGGTGCTGGTGCCATACGAGTTGCGGCTTCAGAGCTGGAGATGCTCCCGTGAGACGTTCTTGGAACTCCACGTTGAGCCAGCCTGTCTTCATCAGCCGGTCGAGCTGCTCAGCTTTCATGGACTTCGTGAGTCCATCAGCAGCGACCGTGGTTTTGGTCGAGATCCAGCGGATCTGCGTTGTGGCCTCGGCCGGCATGGAGTCCATGTAGGTGGGATTCCCAGCGCGCCAGATCGGTCAAGTCGATGGCCAGGCGCTTGTCGCTGACTTCTCCACCTGTGGTGTTGGTAAGGTGGTCGCTCAGGCTTCGGCAGTCGGTGAGCCAAGGACTGCGTGTGGCGTCCATTGCCGCTGGCTGCCATTGCCCTCGTGTAGTGCTCCTTCTTTGGCGTCTCTGTCGCCTGGTTCTTGATCTCGAAGAGCGACTACACCGTCGCTGATGGCCTCCACGCTGGCTGCGCGGGATGCATCATTGATGCTCAGCAGGATGGCGCTTTCAAAGTTCATGGCGCCTTTGGCATAGTAGATACCTTTGCTCTTCTCTTGTAGTGCGTGATGTAGGAGCTTATTTGCATCCACGAGGTGTCTCACTTGCGCCAATTGTTGTCGAGCTTGAAGCTGGCTGACTTCGGCAGACCCTGGCTAGCCAGCTAAGGCTGCTCACAACAGAGCGCAATTGGCTGATTTCAGCCGGTGTTGCCGTCTCACCAAGTTGCTTGCGCCTCAGTGTCAGTGGATTGATGTAGATCGGCTTGGTCCGATCAAGGATGCTGGGGCATGTGATGGTGATTCCATCCTTCCCCTGATGGATGATGCGTCCACAGAACAGTTCATCGCTCTCCACCAGCCCGAACTTGAACTCAGCTTGAACGCCTCTGATCCGGCCCACAGCAAGTCATCAACGTGACATCCAAGGAGCTCTGCGACTTGTCCTTGGTTCTCCAGGCAGGTAGTAGGCTGAGGTCTCGAGAGAGATGGGCCTCAGGCCATTGCGAAGCAGGTTGTCGTGAAGGGCTTTCCAGAAGCCTCTTGGCGCATCTCGTGTCCCATAGACGCTCTTCAGCTGATGATCATCTGGAGGATCACCTGTGAGGTTTTGGGTGAGTCGGCGCGAAGGGTCTTCTCAAGATCACCTCGCGCGACGAGTCTGCTCTTCCAGCGGGGTTCTTCATGTTGCTCTGCCTTGTTCACGTCAACCCAACGTGTAGGCAGGATCACAGAAGGGTGGTCAGCCAGGAACTTGTCTTTCTCTTCGGGAGGCGCGACGAAAACTGCATCGAACTGCTTCCAGTTGTTCCATTCTTTTCCCTGGTGCCATCCAGGGGTTTTCTTACTTCTGGGCTGGCCTTGTCATAGTTGATCTCTGCGCCAGCTCCAACTTGTCTTTTCTTCTTGTTGAACCGTTTGGCCAGCGTACAATGAAGACGCCATTCTTCTTTATGCTTGAGCTGGCCCAAGGCTAGGAGTCCCTCTCCTGAGTCTCTTGGTGCTGGAACAGCGAGATCTCTCAGTCCGTGCTGGCTGACATCTAAGGCATCCAAGTTTCGGTGCGTCGCTTGCTGCAGTGTGGTGTTGGTGCTGCTGCAGGTGCTTGCGCTGGTGTATTGGGCACGGTTGCTGGGATCATCTCGGTTTCTGGTTCGGTGTTTTGCCGTTCTGGAGCCGGTTGTTCTTGTGGTAGCGGAGGTGTTTCATCTTCCTCAGGAATCGCTGGCAGTTGTTCCGGCGGTTCAGTTGGAGTGTACTCCATTTGTGGTGTGTCTTCTTCTGTTGGTCCTTGTCCACCAGGAACTTCAATGTAGCCAGCTTTCATCCCAATTGCGAAGCCGGTAGTCACCAGAGAAGGGGAAAGCTATCTTCAGATTCTTCAATCTCCTCTTGAACTGGAAGAAGATTCACCCTCATGTTCTTCACTCCACAGGTCTCGGAGACTTGATGTTGTTGGTGCCAATGTTGTTGTGTTCCTCCATGGCCGCATACATCAATTCCTTGAAGATTCCGCCTTGGCGGTTTTCTTTGCCGAATTGGTATGGCGCTTCCAACCCAGTGTAGCGGATGGAGATGCCATGAATGCGCAACATGTCTCTGCGCGCCCTTGTCACAGACCACGGATTGAGGTGGCCCAAATGGTGCGATCCAGCCATTGATGAAAGCCTCGGCGCAAACACTGCTCTTGGGAACTCCGCCTCCTGCAGCCCTGATGGTAGAGAGCGCCGATGTCAACTGCAGAGAGGACGGTGTGCCGGTTGCCAGCCTTGTCTTTGATCTCAAGGCAGTTTAAGCTCACTTCATGATTGAAGGTGTTGGGCATCTTGGTGCCATGGGTCTTTCCAGAGGCTGTCGCTTGCGGCGTGCCTCACAGGCAAATGAGCGGCAGGCGTCGATCACGGACAGAGAGGCATTGGCCGTCCTGAGAAGTTGAGCCATGCTTGCTGGTGAGCTGTGACCTGTCATAGTGTGCAATCTTCTGAGTCCCAGTCGGGTAGGCCTTGGAAGTTTGAGCCACTTTTGATGTCGGTCACGTTCAAGATCCATTTCTTGAGCAGCTGCCAGTGGTGACTCTTCCTTGTTGTTGGAGTTCATCAGGACTCAAGTGATCTGGTAGTAGATCTTGTCGTGGAGCGAGATCACGTGCGTCTTGGATGGCGCCCAGGACTCCAAAGCCAAGGTCATCTTCCATTCGACCTTCATCGATACTCTCAAGGTGGAAGGCTGGCTGCGCTCAGGTTGTGGTTTTCGAGCTCATTGAGGAAGCCATTGATCATAGCTTGACAGAGCTGTGGTGGCCGTTCTTGAGCTTTCTTGGTACGTTGTCCTCCTTCAAGATGCTGGTGTTGGTGACTTCGATCGCATCGGACATTGAGTTCCTTCACTTCTTTCTGGCTGTCAAGAGTTGGCTTGTAGTGCAACTCTCCATTGAAGTGGTCGCGAAGTCCGAACATACATTGGTCGCCACGGACGAGCTCAAGTGGTTGGAGACTTTCATTGTCATAGAGGCGCTCTTCCATCAAGTTCTTCATGTGGAAGCTGTCCCAGAACTCACTGGTCCAGGGATTCTCAAGTAGGACCTTCCGACCTCGAGCAAGCCGTCGACGAACTATAGTCCTTGGAGCCATTTGGCGATGGGAAGCCAGCTCGGTGAACCCTGCCAGGGGCTGGGATGTAGTTTCCCAAGTTTCAGACGGCTCTTCATAGACCTCCTCGTCGATGGAAGGCCTTGTGGTGAAAGCCTTTGCCTTTGGATCACCGCGATCCCTTGAAGTTGCCAGGAAGATGCCGTCGGGGTAGTCGTTCACATTCATGGAGTCGAGGATGTTGATTCAAGAGCTCTTCAGCCACAAGATCAACTTCCATCTTGCCCCTCAGCGTCGTCCTGATAATCAGTTTCTGGTCCTCAGTCAGGCCGGCGTTCTGAAGAACCTGCTCGGCCACGTAGCTGGAGACTGGTTCTCCTTGTTGTCGGGCCATCATGCCGCCATCTCTTGCGCCAATGGCGTAGAGTTCACGAGCTTCCCGCTCGCGTCTGGGCCTCAAGGTCTTCTCGAAAAGGATGATGAGGATCTCAGGGGCCTCTGACTTTGCTTGCTTTGATGGTCCTCGAGGACCTACCCATGTGAGATTCACGCT